TTTACTTTCAACCTACCTATATTGTTATATTCAAAGTGAATTTTGTGTGGACATTATATAATTGAGTTGTCTTTTATCCACTCTGTTAATCTGTCTTTAATTGTACATTTAGACCATTTGCATTTAATATAATTACTAATATATAAGGACATGTCTGCCCTAGGGCCAGCCCATGGCTCACTCGGGAGAGTGTGGTACTGATAACACCAAGGCCACAGGTTCAGATCCTATAAAGGGATGGCCGGTTGGCTCACTGGCTGAGCATGGTGCTGACAACACCAAGCTAAGGGTTGAGATCCCCTTACCGGTCATCTTTTAAAAAAACAAAAATAGGGCCGGCCTGGTGGCGCACTGCTATAGTGCGCCGCTTGGGAAACGCGGCAGCGCTCCCGCCGAGGGTTCAGATCCCACATACAGACTGGTTCCCGCTCACTGGCTGAGCGAGGTGCGGGAGCAGCACTGAGGGTTGCGATCCCGTTGCCGGTCCCGGTCCAGTACGGGGATGACACTGAAGGTTGCGATCCGTTGCTGGACACGGAAAAAGACAAAAAAAATAATAAATTAAATAAATAAAAAAAACATAAAGACATGTCTGCTCTTTTATTTTTTATTTTCTGTTTGTTCTGTTTTTATATTTCTCCGTTTTCTTTTTCCTGCCTTTGGACACCTTTTAGAATTCCATTTTTTATCTTTTTTGGTTTTTTGTTTGTTTTGATTTTAGAATTCCATTTTTTAAATCTATAGTGTTTTTGAGTGTATGTTTTTGTATAGCTTTTTCAGTGATTGTGTGTGTATACATGCATACATATTTATACACATACGACTTTTATATATATATATATATATACACACACACACATATGACTTATAACAGTCTCCTGTTGTCAACATTTTACTATTTCAAGTGAAATGTAAAAATTTTACCTACTTTTACATCTTTGTACCTTCCTCCATTTATAATTGTCTTAAATATTTCCTTTACGTGCATTGAGAACCACATCAGACATGTTATAATTATTGCTTCAGTCATCAAAAGTAATTTAGAAAACTCATGAGAAAAATAGTCTATTATATTTTACCATGTTTCTGTTATTTCTATTGTTTTCCTTCCTTATATTCCAAGATTTCTTTTATCATTTCTTTTCTGTCTAGAGAATTTCTTTTAGCCATTCTTGTAGAGCAGATGTGCTAGCCACAGTTTCTTTTAGTGTTTCTTCATTTAAGTATGCTTTGATTTTCCCTTCATTCTTGAAGTATATTTTTGCTGAATACAGACTTCTGAGTTAGTAGTTCTTTTAGCACTTGAAAAGTGTGTTACTTCCTGGTGGCCTTCATAGTTTTTACGAGAAATTTGCTGTCATTTGAATTGTTTTCCTCCTGTAGGTAAGATACTGTTTTTCTCTGGCTGCTTTCATGGTTTTTTCTTTATCTTTAGTTTTCTTATGTTTGGCTATTATGTGTGGACATTCTGGGTATTATGCTATAAGATGTGGATCTTATTTAAATCTTCTGTTTTAGCTGGCCTTTGTTGACATCACTCCAATCCCCGTGGCTCCCTACTTGGCCTTCTTTGAAACTACCCTGGCAGGGTGGGAGGTGGAGGAGGATAAGGTACCTTTTTACCACAGGACAAGAGTGGAAGTCTAGGCTCTTCATTCAGCCTTTGCTGGTGGGCGTGTTGTGGCTGCGGTATATTCTATCATGTCTGGCTGGAGTAGAGTGGTTTTATCTAAAATTTTCTGTTTTCCTAGACTTTACCTTTTCTAGTTATTTGACTAGAGAGAGCAGGTTTGTTGTTGTTCTGGCTTTTTTGGGGGTCTGTGCCCATTGGCATTTGTGGGTTGCTAGGTTCTCTGGTACCAAATCTGGGATATATGAGGCGAAAAGAAAACCCACCTATGTCATTCCTTAGATCCCAAGATCTCTAGCCTGTCTACCTTCTTCTCTCAACTTTTCAAAATCATCTTATACTTATTTTATATATAATGTCCAGGGTTTTTATTTGTATTTAGTGGGAGGAGTAGGGAAAAATACTTCTACTCTATTTTTTCCAGAAGCAGAATTTCAGTCTTTTTTGAGCAGTGGTCATATCTCTTATTCAAGTACAGGTTCTCACGTATTACCTCATAACCTGTATTCAAAAACATCAAATCTCCATAAAGATAAACCCCACCCTTTTTAGTATGAATTTTTTTTTCATCTTTTGGAATACAAAGTATGTTTTCACAAAGGGAAAAAACATTAAGGGTGTTGTCTCATTCTTAGGCTCTCCATAGCAGCTTGTAAAATCCCTCAACCCTTCAGGCAGCTGCTATCCTGTACATTCACACGAACTCACTCATACATATAAACACAGTCACAGTATCACCTTCATTTAAGCGTTGCAAATATTTTTAAAGATTTTAAAAAATGGATTAAAGTTTCACTAGTTTGCAGTACTAGTAACTTAATAGAATTGAAAAACAAGAATTTTCATTTATCTTGAAAGCTAATGTTTGAGGACAAGCAGGTTTGATCACCAAAGGGTAAGATGAATGAAATGGAGAGCCTGGAAGGAACTTTTAGGTCCTTTAGAGAGTGGTAGAACTGGTTCTTATGATTACTATCACTTGGAAATGTCGTTTTCCTTTGTATTGATTTAATATAATACCTGGCCTGTAGTAGGTACTTCATAAAGACAGTACTAGAGAGAGTGTTTTAGGAGTGACAGCTGTAATCAATGCATACTTTTTCTTTAGAAGAGTATTCAATTTACTCAGACCCCTAAAAAGTACCTTTCTTAGTTCACTTTGGGGTGTTTCTGTCCTGTCTCTGACTCACTTGGCATCTTATTGATTCATTGTCTTTTTTTTGCCGCAGTATCTTTATATCTTGGTTTAAGGTTCTTGTTGGAGTTGCTGTTTAGACCCTACTCCCTAGCCTCAAATTGATTGTGTAGTCTCCCCTTATCTCTATCAGAGCTTTGTGCCCTATAACTCTTTCAAAAGTGTTTTTCAATTGAATATTTCAAACATTCATGAAAGTATAGAAGATAGTGAAGTTACCTCCATATACCTGTCCCCAGATTCCCTTTCTGGTGCTAGAGGTCTCAGCATTAGCCAGGTGGCTGGTGTACAGCCCACAGTGCCTTCTGGCAGTTGGCCTGGCACTGCCAGTGGTGCTGGGAACTTAGTAGCTTTTGTGTAGATGTATGAGGGTACTTCAAAAAATTCATGGAACAATTCATATTACCTTTTAATTCTATTTTTCCATGAACTTTTTGAAGTACCCTCATATTTTCCCTGGGGCTTTTCACATTTTTATTCCCCAGTGTAAGATGTGGGTAGATGGGAAAAATGGACTGTGAGGGGTCTTTTGGCTGGTAAACTAGTTCTTCTTTTTGCCTTTTATTTGTTTTCATATCACTGCAGTTTCTACGTGTATACAATGGGAATACTTATTCATTCATTCATTCATTCATTCATTCCAGACATGGTCTTTATTCTTAGAACTTACACTTAGAGTAGTGGAAATGCTAAATCAGTGAAATAGAGAGCAAAGAGGGAGGTCCTCTAAGAAGTATAAAAAGGGAGAAAGTACTTCCACCTGGGCAAGTCTGGGAAGGTTTCATGTAATGGGAAGATTGAGGCATCCTTGATTTGGGTTTGGATACGGGGAGATTAGAGGACACAGGCGAAGCGTGTGTGAGGCACAGAGGTGATGGTAGTGTGCATCTTGGGGGCTGCTGTTTTTAAAATGACGAAGAATTGAGATATCAAATAAACTTGCATCCCTGGAGCTCTTTGGAAGAAAGATCCACTGGTACACCTATTAGCTTCCTATCAAGTAGAGGACCTGACAGACAGTATCTGTGAAACAATGTGTGCACGTATGGAAAGACCCATTAAAGCTGTCATGGCCACATCACTAATCCCTAGTTACAGGGCAGCCTCTTAGAGATGTGCAGGTTAGGCCCTGTACAGGCATCCTGTGGAGTTAACAGATGGGGCTTAGAACTGGTGCGGGCCTGTTTCCACCCCAAGAGGCACCTTTTTCTAATTTGCCAAAGTCTCCATGAAGGCTCAGATCTGTTTCCTTTTGTTTCTTAATGGTGCTCACATACCATGGCCAAATATTTAGTATCTGACTGTAATGTAATTTGCTAAATGACTTCCTTTAGCCATCTGCAGGGACTCAGTCATCATTTTGAAGACTGGCTCTGTACCAAACATTTGCAGAAATTCAGAGGACATGCTTTCTCAGTTCTGTTTTTGCCTTCTGCTCTCCTTGCCACCACCATTAGGTTAGGTGCTTAGAATCCTTTTACTCTCCTCCATCTCCCTGTACATGAGGATATGGCAACTAAACTGCTTAGCCTCTCTGGGTGACCAAGGGAATGCAAGATCACTGGACCCCAATTCTTGCTGCTTCAGTGTCAGGTGCTTATGGTCCCTTTAGGGCTGTCTTCTTCTGTGTCCTGCTTCCTGCTGTTACTGCTGTTGCTCCTGAGCCCTTCTGCTCTTGCTTCCTTGCTTCTCTATTCCTTTTTTCCTCATCCCAGTTGGCTTAATTTTGGAAAGGGAAAGATTCATTAGAGAGAAAGAAAAGGAGGATTAGGGGCCGGCCCGGTGGCGCACTGGATAGTGCGCCGCTTGGGAAGCGCGGCAGCGCTCCCGTCCGAGGGTTCGGATCCCATGTACAGACCGGCTCCCGCTCACTGGCTGAGCGAGGCGCGGGAGCAACGCTGAGGCTTGCGATCCCGTCGCCGGTCCCCGGTCCGGTACAGGGGCAACACTGAGGGTTGCGATCCGTTGCTGGACACGGAAAAAAGACAAAAAAAAAAAAAAAAAAGAAAAGAAAAGGAGGATTACACATGAAGTAGAGACAGGGAGGAAAATTGGAGTGACATAGCAGTAGAGCATAGGGAAATAATAAAAGCAACATTTGCAGTTATAGTGGGTTGTGAGGTATCTCTGGCACCATCACTGCCCTCAGTAACAAGGTGACCTTGCTTTCCTCAGGTGTCCTCATGACTTCTCTTGCGGACCATGTCCATGATCTTTTTTGCCTGCGTGGTACGGATGAGGGATGGACTGCCCCTCTCAGCCTCTACTGACTTTTACCACACCCAAGATTTTATGGAATGCAGGAGACGGCTCAAGACGTTAGCCTTGCAGCTGGCCCACTACCCAGGTCGAGGTTCTGCAGAAGGTGGTGACTTCCGTATATAGTAAGCAAGTACATTCACTTTTTCAGAACATCAGCAAAATTTGGGTTACTTTTAACCACATGTTGAGGTAATGTTATGTTGATCACACTGTGTGTTAAAAGTAGATCTGGCATCAGATGGTGGTCTCAGGTTGTATGTGTTTAGAACAACAGAATCAAGGACAAAGTGGATTTCCTCAGTGCCTCAAGTATTGCTGCTCCAACTCCTGACTTGTGTTATTGGAGTGCCCAAGAGCATCTGGATACCTAGGTTCAACCAGTTTTCCTGCCTTTAGTTTGGTCGTTTTTCTGCACTTAATGCAGAGGAGGAAAAAAGGTGAGGAAAGAGGAGATACTAGATTAAAATGTTGGGGAAAGAAAAAGATGAGAGTGAGAAAGCCAAGAAAATAAGAAAAAAGACTTCACTTATAGCTCTTGTCTTCAGTTTTTTTTTTTTTTTGTCTTTTGTCTTTTTTCCGTGTCCGGCAACGGATCGCAACCCTCAGTGTTGCCCCCGCACCAGACCGGGGACCGGCAACGGGATCGCAAGCCTCGGTGTTGTCTTCAGTTTTTGCTTTTTAATTTTCTTTTTAATTTTTCGATTTTTAATTTTTAAATTTTTACTATGCAACAGGAGCAGAGGAATAAAAAATGAGTGATAGTAGATCTCTCTTCTCAAGGAACTTTAATGAGGGAACAAGAGAAATATATAACTAGATATAATACACTGAGAAAAATGCTCCAGTGGAAGTAGAAATCAATGGTTACAATAATCATAGTAATAATAGCTAATATTATTGAGTGCTTTTTATGTGCCAGGTACTATTCTGTGCTTTATGTAGCTTATGAGGTAGGTAAATATTACACCTGTTTTACAGAAGAGGAAACTGAGGTTAAATGACTTAATTCAGGTTATACTATTAGTAATTGGTAGAGTCAGGATTTGAATGCAGGCAATCAGGCACCAAGGTCTGCTCCTTGTGTGTTATATCATTTCTTATTCTAGGACTTAGAGCAAGAGATCAGTCACTGTGTGGAAGGATCAGGGGCAAGGCAGGTTTTAAAATATCAAAATGACTTGTCATAGATTTTACATCTGTGTTTTCTAGTATTTAGGCCTTTACTTATCAAGTCTCTTTTGCTCTCCTTGAATAGTAAATTTTTAGTTGATCTGATAAGTTGGGGTCCTTTTAGAGGAATTCAGTCTCAGAAACATAAAAACAAAAGGAAAAATCCAGGCCCAACACCAGGCTAGGTGGTGGTGTCAGGCGAGAAGGGCTGTGTCCTAAAGGGGGTGCCAGATGGCAGGCAAAGCCAGCTGTCACCCTGTGGTGAGGCTGTGGCTGCTCAGGAGCAAAAGCTCAACTGCATCTGCCCACATTTGCAATTCCTCTGTCTGAGTGCCTAAAACTGCTTTCCTTGATGGTCCCTTCCTCCCCATGCTGTAATGAACTAATTTGTGCTGTATTGCAAAGAGGAAACCTTTTCTCTGTTAAGAGCCATTTTTCACAGAAAAGAGAAGTCTGTGACTTCAGAATTAAATCTTGAGTACCTTAGTAGTTTTTTGAAAAAGGAATATAAAATGTTCCACTCGTTTGTATTTTGAATTAAATATTCACCATTATTTCACAGAGGAAACGGAGACTTTTCTTTTCTTGCAGGTGAGCAATACTATAGATTTTTGTAGTTAGGGGTATTAATATCCTGTGGCTGCCATAACAGATTATCACAAACTGGCTTCAAATAACAGAAAATTGTCCTCTTATAATTCTGAAGGTTAGAAGTCTGAAATCCAGGTGTCAGTACAGCCATGCTCCTCTGCAGGCTCTAAGGGAGAATCCTTCCCTATCTCTACTACCTTCTGGTGTTTGCTGGAATCCTTGGTGTTCTTGGGCTTATAGATGCATTATTACAATCTCTGCCTCTGTGGTCACATGGCCTTCTTCCCTCTATCTCTGTACCCAGATTTCCCTCTTCTTATAAGGATACCAGTCACTGAATGAGGGCCCATCCTAATCTAGTATGACCTAATCTCATCTTGATTACATGTGCAAAATATTTCCAAAAAAGGTCACACCTACAGGTCCTGGGAGTTAGGACTTCAATGTATGTTTTTTGGGGGACATATTCAACCCACAACAGGGGTCCTTTAGGTACAGAAACACCTCCATCCTAGAGAGGCTTAGGCCCTTCTGGAGGATTCCTTTCATAAAGAGGAGAGTCACACTTTTTTTTAAATTAAAAACATTTTATATAGAGAACTCCAGTTACAAAAAGATGGGAGAAATTTCCTGCTAGAAACACCCAGAAGTGTGGCAAAATATATATTAAAAATTATTTAAATATATAGTTGACCTTGAAAGACAGAATCCCAAGGTGCCAGAAATGAAGGGGAGCAGAATATCAAGGTGGTGTGTAAGCTGACTCTAAAGCATCTGAGTAATCAATCTTAGTGAATTTGGGACTTGAGTTTCAGCACCTTTGAGGGCTCATGTAGAGTGGGACATCAGCACGATACCTTTGCATAAAGGAAAGATTCTTGTCGGGCTGCAATCCCAGTGAAATGATGATTGGGAAATAGTCTGCCCACCCATACAGGGATAACTCTTCTCTACTTGGCTTTGGATGGGAAGGAAAAATAAAGTCTTACCTAGGAAACTGAAACCATGCTCTGTGCCTTGTGTAAGTTTGGAGTTTGAGTTTATAATCCCCAAGGTCTATTAATTCCCAAGCCAAGGTTCAAACATCTGTATTGGTCCCAGACTGATGACATGCCTGGGGTAGCTGGCCAAATCAAATATAGAACTACTCTGGAAGAAGTGTGCTACAATTCAGGCATCAGAGAATTCTTAGAGAAAATAAAAGGAGCCCCACAGTGGTGAGTTCTCAGCAAAAATGACAAAACACAAGAGGAGATACTCCACAGTGAATGGGAGTCAGTAGACACAGATAGGTGAACTAGGACCCCCTAGAACTTGAAATGATAGTGTAACAGTCCAAAGAGGAGTAGGAAAAGAAGAAAAGCCCTGCATTCATTTTATGAGACCAGAATAACCTTAATACCACAACCAGATGAAGACAGTTTAAGAAAGGAAAATTATAGGCCAGTGTATGTGCAGTCATCCCTGAGTATACACAGGAGATTGGTTCCAGGATACTCTCACCCCCCGCCCCCCGCATATATCGAAATCTGCAGATACCCTGCAGAACCTGAGTATATGAAAAATTGTCCCTCTGAATACTCAGGTTCTGCATCCCAAGAATATTGTATTTTAGATTCCTGGTTGGTTGAAAAAAATCCCTGGAATTAGACCTGTGCAATTAGAAACTGTATTGTTCAAGGGTCAGCTGTATATATAAATATGTAGAAACTTACAACCAACAGGGATTTATTTCAGGATGCCAGTATGATTTAACATTAGAAAATCTACTGATGTACATTAAAAAAGAAAAACATTTTCCTCAATAGAGAAGCAGAGAAATCTGAGGCTAATTCCCCCTGATGGAACATGCATTCCTCATGCATGAGTAAATAAGAGTGATCACACACTGTCATTGACTAATATTGCTAGATATTTTAAGGGAAGTACAGTCATGAGCCACGTACTGACATTTCAGTCAGTGACAGACCACATGTGTGTCAGTGGTCCCGTAAATTTATAATACTGTAATTTAACCGTACCTTTTCTATACTTAGATTCACAAATACTTACCATTATGTTACAATTGCCTACAGTGACGCTATACCTAGTTTGTAGTCTAGGAACAATAGGCTATACCTTATAGTCTAGGTGTATACCATCTAGGTGTGTGTGAGTACACTCTATGATGTTCACATGGTGAAATCCCATAATGACACATTTATCAGAACGTATCCCTGTCGTTAAGCAGCATGTGACTGTATAAGAAATACACATCTCAGGACAAGGTCTAGCTGAAGAGACAGTATTTTTACAACAAACACCTAAAGCCAAGCAAATGCAGAATTGAGGCAAGGCCATGTCTGAGTGCGGAATAGGAATACATGGGTCTGTTTCCTTTTGTTTCAGTTTTTCATCTTCAGGGGATGTAGCCTGCATGGCTATCTGCTCCCACCAGTGTCCAGCAGCCATGGTCTTCTGCTTCCTGGAGACCCTATGGTGGGAATTCACAGCTTCCTATGACACCACGTGCATTTGCCTAGCCTCCAGGCCATACGCTTTCCTCGAGTTCGGTTTGTAACCCTCTTTCATATTTATTGTTCTCTCCTATGGCATTGTATATGTAGAACTTAACAGTTTAGTTTTGGCTTTTGACCAGTTTAGTTTTCCCTTTGACAGTTTAGTTTTTCCTTTTGACCAAGGAAAACTACTGGACATACAATGTGTCACTGAGATGTATCAGGTACCATAAGATTTCACAGTGACTGAAGTGGCCTGGGAAGCATCAAGGATTAACACTCTGGCTCTTCATCTCTCCAAATCCTGGGAGCGCAGGGTAGAAGAAGGGTGCAACCTGTGTAGGTTATTCACCACAGCCCTTTGAAGCTGGAGTCAGCAAACTGTGACTGGCTCCCTGTTTTGTAAATGTAGCGGAAAACAGCCACACCATGTTCTTTTACATGTTATCTTTTGCTGCTTTTGCCCTATGACAGCAGAGTTGAGTTGAGACCATACAGCCCACTAGTCTAAAGTATTTACTGTCTGGCACTTTTGCAGACCTCTTGCTTTAGAGGTCTACTCAAAGGGTGTTCTTCCACCATGAGGTAAGTACAGAAAGTAGAAACAGTTTTAGAAATTCTTATAGTGATTAATATTCCTATGACATTTTTTATTGTATTTTATTAAAGTATCAGTCAACAGCAGTTTGGAAATAAGAAAAAACTGGTTCTTCACACAGAGGTTTGAGAAACACTGCCCTGGAAGAGGATACTTCTTTTCTAGGCTCTGCCGGAAAGACCTTGTAGAGGCTTAGGGGCTTTGGAATACAGCATAATCAGTGTGTCCTCTGTTTTTGTCAGGTGTGGTTCATTTTGAACTCCTGGGAGAAGGGGAGTAGAGGTGAGAGTTGGGAGACATTCATTCTGTGGGCTCTGTGTAAACAGCTGCTGTCTTTGTGATGTCCATGAGCAAGGGGCTGTCAGCATTTGGTACAAATGGTCAGGACCACTCATTCCCTCATGTGGTCCACTGGCTGGCCCATCAGGAACGGGGCCAACGCCCTCTTTTGGTACCACCTGAAGGTGCTGGGAAACTCCCTGGTGTGCAGGCCCCAGCCTGGTAGACCTGTGATAGACCGAGAGTTCTGCCCCTCGGTCTCCCTGTGAGGCCTTAGTCAGACTGCTGCTCTCAGCCCCACTTCTTCCTGTGAAGAGGGCATGCTCTCCCAAGACAGACCACAGCTGCAGCATCCCTTGGCTGTCAGTTGATTTGGAGCTGGGTGGACCTGTGTTCTTTTCTCCCCTCATCTCTGCATATACCTTCTAAAGCAGTGTGCTTGATCTGACAAGAGACCCTTCCCCAGCAATGATTGCTCATTATTGAGTAGAAGCAGAATGAGTCGAAGTACAACTGATTTTAGAATCATACATGATTTTGCTTTGCCAATAGGTATGAAACTTCACTTTGAAAACTTAAGATTTGGTAATGGAGTAATACTAACAAATACAAGAATAAAAGCCAATACCTTTCCAAATATGTAATCCTAGTTTGCACAACACATTCATATTCATTGTAATTTTTTTCAAACAAGCCTTTTCCTGAGATAATAAGGTCAGGGTCAGGAATAACTGTCCCCATTTTTCAAGCTTAGAAATATTCTGTGAATTGCTTAGGTGTACTGTCAGAAGTGGCTGAGCTAAGATTCAAGCCCCTTTCCCCCTGACTCCCTCATCACTGAGGTTCTGTGATGCATTATTGCCTTCTCTGCAAATAATCACATTTTAATCATTCTGCTTTGAAGAAGTTAATCAGAATAGTGTGTTGATATATAGTTTGACCAAATGATATATCATTTGACCTTTAAATATAACTTGATGCTCTTTAGAATCTGGCTGGCTTAAGCTTGCTTGGAAATGTGAACTTAATTTTGCACATAATGTTTTATCACATCCATTCTGGTGAAAATGCTCAACTTAGGTTGTTTTCTTTTTGCAGATAGCATCATTCAGAAAATGAAGTGGCATTTTAACCACATCAGTTCCTCTCAGATGGAGAGCAGCTTGGAAAAAGTTCAGGAGGAGCTTGAGATCCAGCCTCCAGTGGTTGTCACTCTGGAGGACACAGATGTGGCAAATGGGGTGGTGAACGGTCACACACCAATGCACTTGGAGCCTGGTGAGTGGCCTGATGTTCTCTGATGTTGATGAAGATGATGTGATGTTATGTGTTTCAAATAGGTGTTGATTTTTTTTACTAGAAAGGTGGGGTTTTGCGGGGGGCTATAAAATATTGGGGAAAGATATGGACTGATCCTGTTTCCAGGTGGCTGTGATGGAAAACTTGACGATTACGACAGTGAGTTGGTTTGAGGGGAGGCTATTCATGTAATGAAATTTAGGAGCTGAAGAGTGACTTGACAGGTTGTTTTCTTAATGAGGGTAAAGTCTACAGGTTTAAATATTGTAAAGGAGATTTATTCTTTTTTACTAGAAGTCACTTATTCAACTGTGCAGATTTTTTTTGACAGTCCTTATCTCATCATATCACTTAGTGAAATATTGCAGATCTCCACTAAGAAATCCCTGTTCTCCTTGTTGGAGGGAGGGCTATGGGGATGAGAATGTTTGGGTAGGGGCCAGGTCTGCGGCTGCTGTTGCTGTCACTGTCTGGCTCTCTGTGAGATCTGAGGAGCTCCCTCTATCCTTGTGGATTTGAGAGTCCTTATTTGTAGAGTGATGTGTTAATGAACAGGATCACAGTGCCCTGGTATTTCATGACTTTGTCTGGCATTAACACCGTTAGCCACTCAATGCTTAACACATATAAAGCATGATTTTTTTTGCATTCCTTGTTTACAATTATATACAATTAAACTAATACTTATAATTTTTTTTTTTTTTGGCAGCTGGCCAATACGGAGATCAAACATTTGACCATAGTGTTCTCAGCACCATGCTGTAACCAACTGAGCTAACCAGCCAGTCCATAAACTAATACTTAATTAAAGTGGATATTTACATTCTAATAATTCTGTAATGTTATAAGAGCTGAATCCTCTGAAAGAGCTCTCTACACTGTAACACGTATTTTGTTTTTAACTGTTTCATACTAAACTCATTGCGTGGGTTTTAAAAGTGGTATATTAAAAATAATCATGGTTTTGGCTTAACTTTGTGTTTTGGTTAATTTGTTTCAATCAATAAAGTCCTGTATTGACTCTCATGCCAGTTGATAAGTTCTAATTTATATTGAGAGTAAAATTAACTTTTATAGAAGGAAGACTGGGTAACTGAACCCCAAACTTTTCCTTGCCATATATGAATACAGGCATAACTTTATAATAATGTTTTGTTTTTAAACACTTAGACAAGAGGAACAAATCCAGAAAGTGTCAACTTGCCCATCTTTCTAGGACATTTTACTGTGGTTTGATTCACCCTGTTGCCCTGAGGCTAGAATCTTTACAGGTAGCATGTTCTATTCTAACAGGGACTTTGAATTGCTCAGTGGAAACTCTTAACACACTAACGATAGGCATAAGTTGGGTTGTGGCTAGGTATTTGTGTGTGTACATGTGCATGTGTGAAATGTAAGGACAAGAAAGGATGATTTAAAAAGAGTATAGCAAGAGAATCATTGAGACACCATTTAATTGTGTGAACCAGAATCAATTTCAGCAGTTATCTTTAAGGAGAAAATGAGCATTTGTTCTAATTATAGTTCTAGAAATAGCTTGTAGCCTAAATAATCAACGTTTCCCTCCTCTTCCCAATTATGTTAGAATTTTGAAAATTGCATTTCCTGTAAATTGCTCTAGAAGCACATATAATACTGAGTATTGTCCTTGTCAGGAAAACTGTGGAGCATTTTACAAGCTGAGGGTTGAGGTGTATAATAGAAATGCTTTCTGAATCTAATAACCAATTTACAAATAAAGCCACAGTCATATCTGATAGCATAAGAAATAGTTTTAAATCAGGATTTCTCACCCTAAGCCCTATTGACATATTTGTATTGGATAATTCTCTCTTTGGGGGGCTGTTCTGTGCATTGTAGGATGTTTAGAAGCATTGCCGGCCTCTACCCACTAGATGCCAGTAGCACCCTGTCTCTAGTTGTGATAACCAAAACTGTCTCCAGACATTGACAGATATCCACTGGGGGCCAAATTGCCCCTGGTTGAGAACCACTGCTTTAAATAGAAAGGAATTTAAGCACTTGAAAAACCTGTACTTGCCCAGAGAAGGGCCTCTTTTCTGGAAGAAACTCACCTCAGATTTCCAGATCCATTTTGTCCTTCATTTCTTGCCTTTATTCCCTCTAACTTCTGCTGCTTTTAAAATTAATGTTTGTAATTCTGTGTTTAACATAATGAACCTGTCATTAGTGGAGGTCTAGTTATTGTCTCTGTTTATTTTTCTTTCATATAGAAATGATTTTCACTAGAAACTTATTTTTTTTTAATTGTGAAGCTTCTAATTTCCGAATGGAACCAGTGACAGCCCTGGGTATCCTCTCCCTTGTCCTCAACATCATGTGTGCTGCATTGAATCTCATTCGTGGAGTTCACCTTGCAGAACATTCTTTACAGGTAACCAAGGATACACGAAAAGAAACTGATGGGGTACATTCTATTTGTAAGGTTATTATACATTGAGGTTTTAAAAAATTTTTAATTCAAATAAAAATTTTATTTTAAATTATATTCTTTGTAGTAAGTTGAACAAATATGAAAGTTGCTGTTTTGTGTCTGTTGTCCTAAGAAGTCATAGGGGCCTTCTGGGATATTAGTAAGAAATAGACAACTTGCTACAAGGGCATCATACCACCCCATGGCCCTTGGGATGCTAGGAGTCACTCCAGGAACTGGATTGTTCACCCAGGACAAAAGTTTGATTCTCAGACTTTAAGGTTCAGGCTGATTTTCCCCTGGGAAAAGGTTATCTCATAGTCTGTTGTGTATAATGCAGATACCACCTTCTCTGTGTCTTTGTCAATGAAGTATATAACTAAGAAGTTCCTTTTTTGGCCTGCCATATCAAAGCAACTTCCTATTTCAGTTCTTTTTAAAATACTTTTTTAATTTTAAAGTATTTAAAACCATAGGATAAACAGATATTACTTTTAAAGACAGAGCCATGATGCTCACGCCCACACGCATGGTGGCTAATGTCTAAAGCATGGCTGATGCTGAAGCTCAGGAGACTGATGAAGACTGACCTGTCTGGAGAATGGCAAGCAGGCCTGTGTTACAAGAGTGGTAACTGTCTGTTACCACATCCTGTCTTTGACCAGTGTTTGGTGTGGTTTCCACTCTTATTGTTTGTGATTACTCATAACCAGACACTTAACAACTGTTCATTTTTGTATACACTAAAGTAGGTGCCTAGCCAACAAGGTGGTTAGGACATAGTCCTTTTCTCGGGGGCTCACAAAGCAGAGTATGTTGGCAGTACTAAGGAGATGGCAGTGCTTGGGGGTGAGATGAATTAGAAAAAGGTCAGTATTGACAGATGAGTAGAATTTTGAAGGTAGAAGGGTCGGGGGCTCATTCTAGGTCTAGGACTTAGCACAGACACCTGGGGACAGGAGGGTGCATGGTATTTCCAGGCCATTGAAAATGGTTTTATGTCAACCCCTGATCTGGTACATAAACAGGGACTTGTGTCTTGCCCGTCCAGGGATTTTGTACTGTCAACCATACCAGATCGAATGAGCAATGAAGGGCTTCATATCATGGTGTTTCCTTTTCATCTGAACATTCCTTTCCTTGTGTTCCTCATACTTGTTCTAGGTTGCCCAGGAGCAAATTGGAAACATTCTGGCTTTTCTTATTCCTTTCGTAGCCTGCATTTTCCAGGTGGGTGAAACATTGATATTTTGGTGAGCGGGTTAAACCTATGGCCTTATTTTGTTATTCTGTTGGGACTATCAGCAAGTTTCTAAATGCCATTTTTGTTCTACCAAGGTCTTGGTTCAAATTATGGACAATACCTTAGTGGAAGAACCTTAGGCCTATCCTGCCCAATTCTCTTATTTTACAGAGGAACAACTTTGGGCTCAGAAAGGGAAAGCCACTTGCCCAAGGCCACAGGGCCATTGACAGCCACAGAACAGAAACCAGGAGTTGATTCCTTAGAAGAGAGGGATGAGATGCAGTGGGGATTGCTCTGGCCTGACCAGTGTGAGTCAGGATGTTGCCTCGTGCTTATTGTTGGGACAGTCCAAGCGCAGAAATATTCTTTTGCAGATGCAATATCTGTGTATATGTGGTTTTTAAAACAAACAACTAGGTGAAAAAATTGCTAGTTCTTTATAGTAATACCTTCTGACTCAAATCTATCTTTCAGGAAATGAAACAAAAATTTGAACATTAATTAGAGGGCTCTGATTATTATTGAGTTATTTTCAAATACGCTGTGTGCTTAAGGGGTGCCATAAAAAGGAGCCTTTGAATCTCCCATAGGCAAAATTGATTCTAGTAAAAACCTGACTGTAATTCTCCTTCCTTGTCCTCTACATGGGCTAGGATTTTAGTACTCTCTCTGCATGCTTAAGCTTTGTTTTTAAATTAAAATTTCTATTCTCAGGACATTTCCCCCATACATCTTAGAATGGTTTCTTTTTAAGAATTACCTGATTATGCAAAAGGAAATTTTCAACCCAAAATTGAAAATGCATTCATTTTTTTAGAAAAAAAGTCTCCAAAACCTTGCACATAGTAGCCAGTGGCAATTTCCGAGAATCTGTATCTCAAGGCTACATGGATCTTACAGTTCTACCTTTATTCCTTCAATTGCATTCCTACTTGATAGCTCCTTCATTAGGGGACTCGCTCCTTCCCACTCTAGCTTAAGCCTTTGTTGGATTGTTCCATGCTCTGAGAATGTGCTTTTTTGAAAAACAACAAAAAACATTAAACCAAAAAACTGTTACCACCTTTTGCAGAACAAGAATGGCCCCTTTCTGTGTGATAGCCCTACACAAAATACCAGTCACTCTCCCTGCTGTGAGACCTTTCTGACTCAGAGATGCTTTCAAAGACGAGATAAGGAGGTTGCCCAAGGGAACACTACTCAGTGCTGTGACTTATCAGAAATCAAAATAGTAAAAGCATGGCTTTCTCTCACCATTTGGCTTGCCTGTTGTGGCTCCCTGATGGAGAACTTCATTGGGAGGCCAGTCAGTCTTGTTAGGGTCTCCTGGCCTGGCAGTCTGACCCTTACCAGCATCTCTTTTTTTTCTACAGCCCACAGCCTGGGCATTTCTCTCTATTTCTTAAACTTCTTTCAAATGTGCCTGAAAGAAAGTGAGCCAAGATGCTGGGTACCATTCAAGCTTTATTAAAGGAAGAAAATCTGCCAGGCTGTGCTCAAAGTGGCAGGCAGCCCGGGGCTGCCCTGAAAATGGGGAACAGCACCAGGTGTGGGGATGGTAGAGCTTATATTGGTATGTTGGCACCAAGGGCTGAGTGATGTAATTCCAGGGTGGGGATTGAGTTAGGTCATGGGAATGGAGAGTTCTGCACATGTGGAAACACCAAAAGTTTCATTTTTTCCAAAACCATCCGGCTTCTTGTAAAAGAGAATGGGAGAGGGGAGAGGAGGAGGTGGATGGTGCCATTTTGTACTTGGGCTTGTCCAAAATGGTGCTGGTTATGTTGCAGATCTATTGCACCAATTTCTCCTGTGACACCTTTTTCACTTTCCTTCTCTCTTCAAATCTCCACTTTCATCCAGTGATTAACAGCAGCCTAACCAGTGGGTCCAAGCATCACCTTAATGAATTCAATTTAATCAGCTAATGTGTGTGAACTGATGTTGTTTATGATAGCTGTGGGAGGCAAATCTTGCATCTGATCTTGTGGCCATTTTATGATCTCTGATTTCCTTCTGTGGTCTCATTTCAGTGTTATTTGTACCTGTTCTACAGCCCAGCCAGGACTGTGAAAGTGATGCTAATGCTGCTCTTCATTTGCCTGGGAAATGTGTACCTGCATGGGCTGAGGAACCTCTGGCAAATCTTCTTCCACATAGGAGTGGCTTTTCTGTCTTCATATCAGATACTGACAAGGCAGCTTCAGGAGAAGCAGTCCAATTGTGGAGTGTAAGGATGACACAATGTGATGAATGGACCCTTTGGTTTTCTTTTGAAGGTCAATCTGTATCTCCCTTCTTGCTTCTCCACTTATCTCACGTTACCATCCTTGAAGTTCCTTTCAACCAAACTGGACTGAAAAACTAAAAATTGAAGATTTTTTTTTTTTTTTTTTTTTTTTTAAAAAAACCCGGGAGGGGGGTTTTACCCCTTGACTTGGTGTTGTCAGCACCACGCTCACCCAGTGAGCGAACCGGCCATCCCTATATGGGATCCGAACCCGTGGCCTTGGTGTTATCAGCACCGCACTCTCCCGCGTGAGCCACAGGCCGCCCCAAAATTGAAGATTTTTTTTTTTTTTTAAAAAAACCCGGGAGGGGGGTTTTACCCCTTGACTTGGTGTTGTCAGCACCACGCTCACCCAGTGAGCGAACCGGCCATCCCTATATGGGATCCGAACCCGTGGCCTTGGTGTTATCAGCACCGCACTCTCCCGAGTGAGCCACAGGCCGGCCCAAAATTGAAGATTTTTAACAGGTGCAGCAGAAGTCATGAGGTCACTTGGCTTTGTGGAATCTCCAATTCACCATGTTTACTTAGGATGGTAGAATCTGGGGGTTCACTCAGAAAGAGCATTATTGGGAGATCAGAATGGAAATATCGTGGTCTTTTAAATTGAATGATGCAATAAGCCACTAGATTTAATACCACTAATTTTAGTAATTGGCAGTTGTCTCTAAGGAACCACTTTAAAATCCAAATGAGCTTTTTAGTCTAAATATGACTGGTTAGTTTTTTGTTGTTTTTTTTTTTTTTACAGGGCCAGTACAACATAAATTAAAAACTTAAAAATGTGGTTTATAAATATAAGCTAGATAAATTTTGTTTACATTTTTTGATAACTTAGGTTCAATATGCCTTTGGGATATTTAAATATATTTTAGATATAAATTGAACTTCATTTAGGGTGAAGACAAACTGAAGCTGAGAAGAAAATGGTTAGGAAATCTGTTTATTTAATTTATGTAAAGACTTATGGTGGTGGGGCTATGTGGGTACAGAAATGTTTTGTATTTATTTACAGGGTATATCTGAGTACTTTTAAAATTAATTGAGTAAGCAATACTATTGGCTCGTAAGCTTTTAAGCACAAGCAGAAATGAGAATTTCAGGATTCCTTATAATTGCTCACAAACTGGAGTAGGTGAATGACATGGATTCAGTGACACTTTGCAGACCCAGTTGGAAGAGGCTCCTGTCATCAGCCTTTTAAATAGCAGCTGAGTGCCTGTCATTTTAATGATAATGAATACTTGACCCTGTCTGCCTGTTCCCAGAGGGCCTCCCAAATTAATTACTCCTCTACACCTTTCCCAGTAATCTTAATTAGTTCAAGGACCTCATTTTTTCATGAACACCAGTTAAATAGATGTTAACTTTTTAAAACTTTATGAAGATATGATTAACACATGCTCTGGAAGGTTACATTCGTCGTCAAAAAATTGATTGATCATAATATAGTTTTCCAAAATACGGTTCTGAATAAGATTCCTTTGGTCTTCAGAAATTTCAGCCTGGGTTGTCTAGTACCACTCAGGAAGCCATTTCGGCGGTTTGCCTTTTGGATTGTTCTTTGTAGAAGTCTGGAATCTGACTAGCTCATCCACAGGTGCATGGAATACTTTGGTTGAGTTATGTGGCCTTGATAAATTTAAAAAATTCTATTTTGATAGTTCTTAAAAGTGGAAAACCATTGCAGGAGTTACTGAGTAGGTGGGGAAAGTGAGAATGTAGTTGTGGGGAATTCAGTTGTATTCACTTATTACTGGTATTGTATGTTATTGAGCTACCTTGGTATCATTTTAACAAAAACAAGTTTATATGACTGGGAACTGTGTTGTGAAAATGTTGCAATGGTAATGTTATTTTCCTATAATAGAATTTTGTATTTTTAACCAAACATAAAATATCTGGATGTGGATATTTTGGCAACATCCTCAGATATAAAATCCAAAGTTGTCTCTCCATTGATTTCACATCTGCATAATTTTCTGCAAATGCAGCAGGTGAATTTTCAGTCTTTCTGAAGAGGTGGTAAAATGGAATGGAAGAAAAATCCTTTTAAATTAGAAGTACAAGAAAGCTGTTAAAGTTGATAAGAACAGCTTAAAAATGTATTGTTTTCTTTTTAAGCCTGTCTGGTATTGGTGATGCCGTGTAGCCCTGTACTCCAGATGTTTCAGGTTTCTGAGCCTGTGATCCACATTCAGGAAGCAGTAAAGAAACAGTCCTTGAAGATGAGTTTTTCCTGGTGATTGCCTCCTGCCCACTGAGGCAGCAGTGGGAATGCCATCCACACTTAGACGAACGTGGTCTTAGCTAATATCTACATGGGGTTTGAGATTTATTTTGCAAACAAAAGGAAAAGATGCACTAGAAAAACAGTACAAATAATGACTACAAAAACATTTTTTAACTGAAATGCAGCTAAAAGAAGCCTTAACTCACTAGAGGAAGAGATAGGAAAGAAGTTCTGACAATTTCATCCATGGGAAATCTCAGGCTTTGGGTTGACTTGGTTCAGGATTGGAGGTTTGTAGCCCCTTGCGTGATCCTTGATGACAGAAAGCTGGTTCCAGATCTGAGGCGTTATCCTTAGTCCATTATGGACTGACTCACTCCTGTTCCATCACCTTTGTTTTCCCAGTGATTAAGTGCTACCTACCTGACCTCACAGGCTAGATCTGGCAATAGGTGGAATACTGTTGAAGACAAAACCTTAAAGGTGCCTTCTGATATCAGGTGCTGCAAGATCTTGAGCATCAGAGTGCATAAAGTCCCATCTCTTGTATCAGGGTCAGTGTGGCTCAGTGCTCTTAGGGTTTCCCAACCACGGAGCCAAAGCCCAAAGGGTTTTCACTTCCCCAAGTATCCTAATGAAGGAAACATGTAGTTTCTGGTATATTTTCCCTAGGCCAGCCTTGTCATAATGAGGAATGTACCTGGCTTTTCTTTTCCTAGGTGGAGATAGCTAGGGGCATATTTGGGGTGGCAGGCCCTCTCAGGACCAGAAGCCCCACTGCCTGCAGAGGGGGAAATGTGACCATAGGCTCCCAGTTTTGTTCCTTGGCTCGCACCCTGTTATCTGTGAACTCTGTTGACATACATCATGAACCAGGGCACAACATTTTAAAGTTCTTTAAGGGGTGGAGAAAAGGTGTTGGGAAGAATGCTGAAATTAAAACGTTTAATCATTTTCATCAACCTCACCTTGAGATCCTCTGTTCTTTTCTAGGTACACCGTTCTCCAATTCCCCTGCCTCTTTCCACCTCTGCCCCACACACTTCAGCCTGGGGACAGAGGCTGAAACTGGAGTTGCTGGAGGGATGCAAAAGCCACCTTTAATTATAATTGATAGGATGGGTAGAGGAGCTTCAGAGAGGGAGCAGATTGCATTTAGGCCTAGTCCTCTCACTGGCCTGGGAGTCAGGTCTCAGAAGGATGTAGCACTTTGATGTTCAGCACTGCTCAGAACAAGGTGGCTGTTTGGGGCATGGGAACCTGGAGGTAGGCGGGGAGCAGAGCTGGGGTCTGCAGCAGCTGCCCCTTGGCATGTGGGGGCCGCATACTGCACTTTCATCCACCCCAAAGGGCTCGACCACTCATTGTAACAGGCAGGACAGAGGCCCTCAGAGAACATGCTGTTTGCTTGCATAGTGCAGCTCACGTGAGGACAGGCAGGGAAGGGAGTGTTTACAGCGATCAGATGGGCCCAGCAAACCCCTGCTCAGACATTGCTCACGTTCCAAATGTTCTTGCATAGGATCCTGCACAGGTCTGGGAAAGCTCTGCCTGTGTACTGTGAATGTTAATAATAGTGGAGGAAGAGAGAGTGGATGTGCCCTTGAGAGACAGGGCCAGGGGGAGCATACCAGTCAGCTGGTCAATGGCTTGGAGATTGGCTTGGCTCTTCCACTCAGTCCTGTGTCACCGTGGGCATGTCACTGTCCATCCAGCCTCAATTTCCTCATCTGGGAAAGTGATAACATCAACCTGCTCCCCTGGCATGCTGTTGTGAGGATCAAAAGTGGCAGTGGAGGGGAATACTGGGTGAATCCATCGTTAGTGTGCGGGCAGAGAAAGGCTTTGAGTTCAGTGGGTACACGCAGGTTCTTCTGCATGCTTCAGTCAGCAAAGCACAGCCCTGTCTTCTGAGCTTTTCAGAAAGGCATTTTATGATACTGCAGTGTAAATGGCCTCATTCTTTCACTACAGAAAGTTAGCAGCCTCTCTTTCCCCGCATGAACCTGTCTCTCACTTCCCAGGCACAGAGGCTGTGGTACCGTTGGTGTTTGGTCTGTTCCAGGATACAAAGAGGCCAGTTCTGCTAGTTGCACCAAACCTCTGTGTTCATCCCCCACTCAAAAAAAATTTCTGATTCTCCATTCTGGGAGCAGTAATGTCAAACTTCTGTTGCTGGGGAAACCTCCTCAGCAGGGGACCTGTGGAAAAAGGCTTGTTAGTAAAATCTGGGAATGGCTGGATATGGAAACATCTGCCCATGTGTACTGATGGCAGAGCTGTTGTCCACAAGCACCTTTAATTAGGGTAGAATTATCAGACCCATTCTGTTCCTCTGACTTGTGCTCAGTACATATAACCTTTAACCCTTACATTTATATGATTGTGGGGTGGCTTCAGAAGTACTATTTAATGAATTATTCATATGACTTGACCTTCAGGATTCTATTTTGTTTAATGGACTTTTCTATTAAGAGCGTAAAAGATTGAGGCTGATTCAGCCAGGGCAAAACCGTTTACTCCACATACTCATTTCAGTTTCTCGCTGTGGATGTTACACAAGCTTCTTACTGTTTTCATGTAACAACAGAAATCTATTTTGAGTAAATGATGGGTACGTTTTAACAAACTTTCACATAGTAGTAAAACCTAAACTTGTGTTAATGTATGTAAAGAACGTATAGACATTTATATACTATGTATATATAAATTAAATGAGGTGGCTTCAAAAGTGGGAAAATAAATCCGAAGTGTTTATTAATGTGTGTGTTTATACTTGTGAAAAATCCTGAGTTAATATGGGCCTGACCTAATGGGAGAGGGTGTTGTGGGACGTGAAACCCAGGTTCTCTTG